TTATTATTATTATTATTATTATTATTATTATTGTAGGACAGTTGGATTTGGTTAATATTTATATACACCAATCAGCCATAACATTATTGACACTGACATGTGAAGTGAATAGCACTGATTATCTTGTTATCATGGCCCTGTCAGTGGGTGGAATAACATAGGCAAGCAAGTGAACAGTTTGGTCCTCAAGTTGATGTGTAGAAGCAGGAAAAATGGTCAGTACCTATCAAAAGTGGTCCAAGGAAGGAAACGAAGTGAACCAGAGACAGAGTCATGGTTATAAAGTTATAAAGGCTGTCGTATATACCTGTGTATTTTTGGATGTTATTAAAATAGAACATAAATGATGCTGTTTATTTTGTACTCTTGGACGTTCAAGGAGAGTGGCACCAGTATGATGATGTGATTTATCTGGAGGTGAAGAAGAAGTTTTGGTACGGAGAGTTTTCGACCACAGAAGTTGTAATGAAAGCGAGAGACCTAGCTGGCAGAGTGATGCTGGATATCATCTTTGACCTTCTTACATCATGGAATGAACCAAATGTGGACAACTTCTTTCTCCTGCTACAACAGTTCTACTATACATACAGCTATCCTGTACTCCATGATGGCAGGGAAAGGCCGTGGGGATTACCCTACGGTATTGAACAGGTAGCTATCAAGGATTTTAATTCTACAACGTCACATGCTCACCTAAGAACTGTAAATAAGTTTCCAGCTAGAATTACCATCAGAATGTAAGTATTACAGGTTGTGACCTTTTTCCTTTACTTTCTCTAGGTGGAAAACCTGCTCAGATGTGCTCTGGAGGACAACATCAAGCCCACAAAGCAGAAAGAAACTCTCCCATCTCTGCATGCAGGAGTTGTCAGTTTGCTAATTTACAACAAATATCTGAAAGATGACATGAGAGATCAACTTTCTAGTTTATGTGATCTTCTTTGCCTGCCTAAGAAACCACAACACCATTTCCTCTCTTTCTGGAAAACGTTTGCAAGCCCTTTATCAGATAAAAACAGGTAAGTAATGCATGGTTTGAGTTAAGAATAAGATAACAATCAGATTGAGATCTGAACACAATCGACTACATCTTCCAACAACATTTTACAAAGTAAAAACTAAGGGTCTATAATATGATATAATTTCAATGATATAATTTTGCCACTGTAAATATAATGAAACTAAACATGGACTTCCCCACTGGTATAGAGTTGCAGATGCTGTTGAGATGCTGTGCAACAGTGCTAGACAACATCATATTGAGAAGTGGGTCTTGGTCATCCCTCTGGTTCACCTACTGAGAGGAGAAAGTAAGCCATTTGAGCTAGTTCCACCTGTCTTGAATCCACAGTTTGACTCATGGACAGGCTTGAGGAGGAGCAACGGAGCACATGTTTACAGGGACAGTGATGCAAGGTATGGAAGCATTTTCCTCCTGTAAAGACTTATATTTACAACTTTCTGTAAACGCCTCAAAAACAAACAAACAAATTTTGCATATCAGTGGCTCGAAATAACAATAAGAACCAACTGTTACAGTATTTTGCTCAAATATCCAGAAAATCCAAAACAGTGGTCAATATTTTATCCTAGTATTTGAAATTAAATCATTAACATTTTAGGAAAAACATTGTCACCATGAGGTTGCCAGACAACCAGGCCCAACCAACTTCAGGAAGTCTCTGTTCCGGGTCTTTTTTTTTGTAAATGTTATTTTTACCTCACCACCATTTGTCTCCATAAACAACTCTGATTTTAAATTAGGACTGTGATCTGGATAATGAGAGAACATGCTCACCTGGCAGACATCGATCGTCTTCTTGTGAACTCTTGGATGTCTCTCCTGCATGTAGAAGATCTAGTGAGCTTCATGTCTATATTCAGTGTGCAAGAGGATATTCTAGACATTCTTCATTACATACAGTTCAGTATTAAATCTGGAATAACCAACTACAGGGTATGTATCCTTAAAGTGGCTATAATATTCTATTTTTATTGAAACAAGTTTCAAACAATAAAGTGAGAACAACATGACAGTGTGAAAGAGGTTGCTCATAGTGATGACCGTATAGAGAATGATTACCTGCAACTGTAGCTCCCGTCTGCTTTACAGAGCTTTACAATCAGTTTAAGCTCATTGTTAGCTGTCTTGTCCGTAATTTTTCAACTGTTTTGTTTCACTATTACTGCTCAAACAGTTTCAGTTCAAAAACTTTAAAAACCCACTGCTCAGCACCAGACTACAGACAGACACAGTTAGCAACTAGCTGGTAAACATAGCAGAGCATTTAGCTAAAGAGACAGATATTTCAGTTGGTAGAGACCAAAAAAAAGATTTAAAAAAGAGTATTGGTCCTATATTCATCAGGTGGCCAGATATAATGCTTCAATTGAATGATAATGTTGCTCCATAACTGATGGATGTGTAAATAAACAAATGCTTGGTAATAGGTTTGCAGTATCAGTTTGAAAGGTGATGATGTGTCAGTGTTGTGTACAGAACTTAAGATAAGAAAAAAAAAACTGTTATTGCAGGTTTATATAAATGTTACTTAAATGAATTTCCTCATCACTGTATGTCTTCAAATTATGTGTGTTATGTTATTCTGATGACAGGCTTTGAAAGAGTTGGCATCTCAACTCATAACGAAAGAAAGACAATGGCATAAAAGGTAAAAGAAAAAAACTGTACCTGTTACTGTAATACAATATCTATGCTGTAATGTCTTTGAATTTTGATATCTTTATTGTTAACAATCTTTATGCATACATGACAATAATCAAAAGATTCTTTCACATAGATTTGATGACAAATATGGAGAGGTTTGCCTGAAAACTGCAGCGAGGCTTCTTGGTTCTATCTGCCGTCAAATAACAGATCCGACTGCTATGATGTTCCTATGTTTCCTTCCTTGATCTGGTCTGTCGATTGCCAAGACCTACGACACACTAAGTCCCAGGTAAGACTCACCTGTCAGTCTGTTGGACAGATTACACTTTTCTGCCTCCATACCAAGTCATAGTCAAAGCTTGAAATACAGTTTACATCAACAACTGTATTATTTTATTTTTTGGTCTGTCTTGTATAGAGAAAAAATATAAATTGTTGTTTTTTCTTTACTAAACATTTTAACAGTTTAGAGAAATGTATCAACAGTTGTGTTTTAAGTCTTATTTTTGATGTTCCTCATTAAAAATAAGGTTCACAGCAAAGCTGAAAATACAGACTAGCAATGTTTTTATGCTTAAAAGCAAGTTGTGCAATTAAAGAATGTTAGTTTGTTGTAGCTAAAAGTTTTTTTTTAAAAATACAGAGATATCCATAGTAACTTATAACTGCTGTTCCAGACAAGAGAGAGAATTCATGAAGAGTCAATCGGGGATGTATTAGAAACAGTGAGGGAATGGCGGAGAAAAACCTTCAGAAACCAACTGCTTAATGACTGGAAACGGACCGAGTTCTCTGTACCCCATGAAATTAAGGTAAGCAGAAATGAATGGCAGTAATGTATATGTTGTTTTCTGATATGATTTTAGAATGATGTTTTTCTTTTTCTTCCACAAGTACAATGGCCATTTGATGTTGTATGCAGTTATTAAATTCCAATGTAGCTGACCCTTTTAAATTCATATGACTCTCGTTTAGGTGTGGAACAAGTTACTCTCACTGTCCTTCAGTCATGAGGAACACACCACATCCTGGAGAAATGTCTTCTTGGAGGATTTTGAAGGAAAACTAAAACGAGTAAGTCTGGATTTGAGTTTGTGTTAACAGGCTTTACATGTGCACTCGATAAACAGAACTAAGGATGTGTGTTTATGTGCTAGGAACCGCTAGTGGATCAGATTGGAATATACTCTAGCCAGATGGAAGAAATGAGCAAGAAAAGTCCACTGTTATGCAGCACAATGGAGAAATGTGCATTGGAGGCGATTGCAGTTATTTGTCAGGTAATATTTTGATAAGTGGTGAATAACCAGTTAATACATGTCTTAATAAATGTTTTATAATAACATATAATGTAAATGTAAATGCTTTGACCATGGTAAGAGTTTTCAGTTTTTTAATATAAAGTGGGCCCTTGAGTCTCCCTATAATATGTAAGCATTTGAATGCAAACTGTCCTTAGAAGTGTACAATGCCTTTACTTTCTATGTAACTTTACTTTTTTTAGTAATGTCTAGGAAATTGGAAAAAAAAAACTCTGTTATCAGCTGCTCCATCAGTAGTGGCAAACTTTAACTTTAGAATTTATATTTATTCAGTTTTTACTAATATAACTGATAACATGATGATTAAATGCAACTTAATTAATTATGCTAGCTAGCTCATACGGTAGTATTACACAGTCACAATCACCTAAAATGTGATTGATGGTCAAGAGGATTGCCATCCAACAACTTGCCACCATAGTAATGACGGCACTGCTAGATGGCAGAACACACAAACCGATTGCTGGATTCATCTAATTGTAATAACTTAGTAAACACACTGCAACATCATAGCAGATATTTATAATGACCTACTGCTTAATTGAGCCAAAACCTAGGAACCTATTACTGACTTCCAATGCATGCCGAATTCTAAAATACCCATACAAATAAACAGGGAAACCATCACCACACCATCACTGACACCTTTAAATTCCTCAATTTTCTCAATAAGGGAGAGAGAGTAAATATGTTTCCAGCTGATTTTCATTTTATGTTGGAAAACCATGTTAAGCAAAATATTAATCATAGAAGTATTTTTACATCTTTTAAAACATGTCTGGAGGTGAAATTCTGTGCATCTTTTTATTTTTGATATGATTGTTTTTTGTTCTTTTTTTCTTTAGGACAAATCTGGCAGAGCTGTTTCAAATCTATTGGAGAAACATGACATCACAAAGTTTGGGAAGCTGATGTCTGTTGTTATACTGAAGACATGGCCCACAGATGCAAATGGGGATTATGTTGAAGGACAGGACTTGATTTTTGAGTACCTTGTGAATTGGCCCATGGCCAAAACTGTCTTCCAATTGACAGGTAAATACTTAAATGTAACACATGTTACAAGAATGACTGGGAATCTGCTCTTTGTTAATGTTGAGTACAGGGGTACTCAACTGCATTTATCCAAGAGCCAGATGTTTTTCAGACACTGTGGGGGCTGAACAATAAAAAAAGAAAATACATTTAGTCTAATATTTTCCCTTTCTTACATGGTAATTAATCCATAATGATACTTACAGAAAATGCTGTCAGACCTCCACTAAGGAGGCAGCTTATTGAGGAGTGATGGTTAAAATTTTCTTGAAACTTGTCACCTGTAGCTCTTCATCTAACAGCTCACTGTTGCTGCTCCTTGTTGCCTCTTGTAAAATGTTTTGTAGTTAATGTTTGCACACTTGTTTTCCAGGTGCAAGAGGAAGACTGATCGACAAATTGTCAGATGAAGCACAAATCAAGATGACTTTGGCGAGTTCAGCATTCAAATCTGTGACAGAGAAGTTCCTCAGTGGAGAGATCCAAAATAAAACTTTACACCAAATACTCCAGAGAAAACGAGAATTTGTTGACTTGCTGAAGATAGGTGAGTAGGTATATCTTATATATATATATATATATATATATCCTATATGTATCATGTGCAGACGTACCAAAAGGTCTTTTGGATGCATACCCCAAACCCAACAGGAAGTTGCCCATTTTATATTTAGTGGCCATTTTTGGCAAATTGCACTCGCTGTACTCCTCCTACAGTATTGATTAGAGCAACTTCAACCTTGGGAAGTATAATCCAAACACTATCACAATTAATAGTTGTGCTAGGTTGGGTAACTCGCAAAAAGGTTGCATAACAAGTTAAAAATATATTTATATAAATTTGCAGGTAGAAATAAATTAAATGCAGGTGGGCAGTGGGTGAGAGCAAAAATGTGTTGTTTTTTCAGATGCTGTGCCAGTTAACAGAAACTTTAACAATAACACAACTCTCAGACTGCCAAACCGCTGTAAAGTTTGTATGCTGGGACATCATATTGGGTCGGGTCAGGTCTTTTGCAGGACTCTGATTTGTGAGTTTTCGTATGTGGTGTGGTGCAGAAAAGCTAACATTTCGCCATGGAACAGCATGTTACATTATCCAATCTCCAATCAAAAACAGTGCAAATGATCTGTTTATAGTCATATTGACATTATATATACACCTTTCACTACAGTTTCAATGTCTATATCTGTGGAATATGTCACAGATATAAAACAAATACAAATATTTTTTTAACTGAACAACACTTTACCTGTTTCAGATTAAAAACTATCTAGTATTTCTGTTGACAGAATACAATTATTTGTTACTTTGATAATTTGTCTGGACCACTTAGATGGCGTAATTTAAAGGTCCAGTGTGTAACATTTAGGAGGATCTATTGCCAAAAATTGAATATAATATTCATATGCATATTCATATTATCACCTTAGAATGAGTCGTTTTGATTGGCATTACACACTTGGTAAAACTACTTCCTAAACACTTGATATAAATATTTACTCTTTTCTACAACATTCATGAGCATTTGTTGAGCTTCACAGTTATTATTCTACTGTGTTCATGTATGTTTATGTTCTTCTAGATGGTCTCTGTGATGATGGTCGTTGTAAAGATGACAGAAACATGAGAATGTTGCTGAGACTAAGAAAAGATGAAGCGGAAGCTGTCTATAGAGATAAGGAGATGGTCAAGGATCTTCTACAAATCTGCCAGGAGCTTCCACAACATGTCAGAGGTAGGCAACGCTGGGGCACTGAAAGCGAAGTTTAAAGTTCAAATCTTTTTAGAAACCTAGTATTAGGATAAATATGTTATGTTATGTTGTACTTTATTAACATGAGCTATATTGTTATTTCTTACATAATTTTATTTGTTTGCATACACAACAACAACATTCACTAGCTCCTGATTCAGATGATGAAAAATGTAATCAGCTTTTGCAACAAAAAACACTAGGCTAGAGAGAGATGGCTCTGTTTCTGGTTCTGTCCAGCGAGCAGCAAACTGTAAATGTTAAATGTGCGATCAAAATCAAGGCAGAAATTGAAGATGGGTGTGGTCCAACTCATGAGTACTAAGTGCTAATAAGTAATAATGTAGTAATGACTACATTATTACACAAGTACTTATGTCTAACGTAGTAATAAGTACTGAGTACTCGTTGGTTAGATCTTCATGTTGACAGGCGTTGGGGCTGGTGTGAGCTTATATATATATACAGTAGTGGATGCTTCGGTGCTTCTTTCCGGATGGCAACAGGATGAACAGGCTGTGGCTAATAATATCTTTTTAATCCACAGTTGACTTCAAGGGATTGGATGAAAAACTTCATCAGAACATTGAGATGATGAATCTGAATGAATTCATGAAGGTTCACACGCTTGATGGACAGACCTCTCAGGCAATGGCGCAGGTCACTTATTTCAACCTTTGTGATATCACCCGTCAAATGGCTTCAGAACTGCAGGCCGTTAAAGACAGTGCAATCTTCAAAATGTGCTGGATGAACCAAGTGGAAGAGTTGTCAAGAGACCAACCTGATACAGATGACACTGAACATCTAAGGAACACAGAGGAAATCTACACTCTCGACCTGGTCTACAGCAAAATATTCCAGAGCTGCTATAGCAAGTATAAAGGGCTTTATGATGGTCTTAAGAGTGGGGAACTGTTACTGGAGGAAATAGACAGCATCTTTGAAGACTATAAAGGAAATCACAAAGACTTGCATAAAGAATTAGACATCATGTGCGCAACAGATCCGTCTGATAACAGGAAATGGATCAGAGGAAGGATTCAGCAGATTCAACAGTACCATGAACTTCATCTCGCAATGGAATCTGCCAAAATCATCATGGATGTCAGGAACACAATATGTCCAGAAGGAGACTTCAGCATACTGGAGAAACTGCTGCAAATGGTAAGTTTCCCAGTAATGTAAAGTTAGGAAAAGCAAACCTGACCTTCAAAAAGGTCTTTCAAAGACATGCTGGTCCATACCTGTAAGACATTAACAGCAGACCTATTGACATGGCTTAATTCATTATGGAGAATTTGTGAGGGATGTATAGAGTATATTGCTGTCAATAAGTATCCACTGTACACATTTATTGTCTTATAATCAGATGAAATACTGAAATATTTTGAAAACTATAGAGATTGAAATGTTAAATTGACTGTACATTTATCCACCTTTGTATCATTTACATAGGAGTTTGAAGAAAATTAACTAACCGTAATAATAAACCTTTATGACAGAGACTTTTATAGAGCTAAATAGGAATCATGAATCATACACTCAACAAATTCATACTGTAAATGTATTTTTTTCAGAATCAAGCAGACTTTAAGAAAAACAAACTGAATTGCATCGATGATACCTTCATAAAGGCCAAACAGATTCTGATGGACATTACAAATGATCGCAGGGAATGTCTTCAGAAACTGAGTCACAGCCTAGAGTTCGTCCAGTGGGTTAAAAAAGAACTTGAAGGTACTGTACAATAGATACCATTTTTTGTTGAGTTGAGTTGAACACAATATTTGTACCAGCTTAAGGACATTTTTAATTGCAGATATCAATGAGCTGAAAGTTTTTGTTGACCTGGCATCCATCTCTGCTGGAGAAAATGACCTTGATGTGGATCGAGTGGCCTGTTTCCATGATGCTGTCCTTGGTTACTCATCCATGTTGTATGGATTGAAGCCGGACTCTGATTTTGAGGCATTCAAGGAGTCATTGTCAAAATTGTGGAAAGCACTTGAAAATGACAGAAATATACCAACAAAGCTGGTGAGATTCCACCTTTTATGTTACCACAATACTTTCACAAAATTGCTATTATAACCGCACCACAACCAAACAAAAAAGACAAAGTTGTCATATTGCTGAAACCAAAAAAAAAAAGTTCTTTAATTAGTGCACTGTCACATTCAATATTGTATACAAATATTTTTGGAAAAGAAGTCAATTTTATCCAAATCCATAAACTAGATATATGGCTACTGTTCATTCAGAATTATATTTGTTTTTATGTCTGATTTAAGCGGGATACAGCACGGCATTTGGAATGGTTAAAGACTGTAAAGGTAAGCCATGGATCTGTAGAATTTTCATCGCTGTCCCTGGCTACATCAATCAACGAGAAAGGGATATACATCATCAAGGCCCCAAACCAGAAAAAGGTACAGTAAATGGACTACATAAAATTAATACATACATTTGAAAGAACGGGACAAAATCCATTTAGTCGTTTTCATGTTGACGTTTCCCTTTCATTTATCTATAGCTTGCTTTGGAGACTTCCCTAATGCTGCAACTTCAGGATGGACATGAGAAAAACATGACATGCACCTATGAGGACCTGAAAGAGTTGCAAAATAAGCTTATGCTCATGTCTGGAAGAGGGGAACAAAATCAGACTGAAGTCGAATGCTTTGCTGAGGTGTATATTAATTGTATATTGTTGTGATTTTGTGATAATAGATTTAGGAGATTTAAGATCAATGGGATGTTTAAAGGAATGAATGTGTGGTTTTTTGTTACATTGCAATTTATTTCACTTTATCGTCTCCATATACAGGTGTTCGACAATGTCCAAAGACTTGCCAGAGTATTTGTAGACCTTTATTCTGCAGGAAACCCACTCTTCAGATGTTGGGAAGCTAAGATTTATTGCAAAACTCAGAGTGACCCATGCATCATTATGGAAATCAACTTTTGCAAGACCCTGCATCACATCCAAGTTTGTGGAAGTCTAGTTGAACAACTTACAGCACTGTCCCAGAAGATGGAGTTGTTTCTCGATGACTGGAGGAACTTCATGGACCAACAGAGATCTGATCACTACTACTTAAACTACTTTACAGCAGAACAAATATTCTACTTGTGCAGTGTTCTCACTCCAACAGATGTTAATGCAGAAATAGAGGACAGTGCTTTGATGATGTTCTCTTTTATCAAACCAAACTGCACAACAACAGATGTCTGGAGCACATGGAGAAGGTTTCACAACCAATTTGAACCTGGCAAAAGGACTAATGAAGATGTTTACTTTCAAAGTCACTTTCTCCATCAGGGTGACAGCCATATGTCTTCAGCTAATGTGAGTCACTTTACAGCCAATGATCCAGCAGACAAGGCAGACCAGACTGTTGGTTTGAAAGAACTGGAAGAGTTGTGGAATAGATACATGAAGAATGAGGGAATATTTTTTCATGACCTTTTGGACATAAGGAGTTTAGGGGGTTTGTTAAAAATGATGACTGTCACAGAAAACCAAAATGAAAATAATTGGGAAGAACCAATACTTTCAGAGACTGAAGACAATTCACTCAGAAGAAGTCTTCCAAAAGGCCTCTCCCCAAACCAACCTAATCTCATAATCTGCCCACACGATGAGGTCCTGGCTTCAAGTATCTGCTTGTACATGACCAACTACTATCAGCAACTACCAAGTTATGATGAGGTTCTTTTGTGTACGCCTGCAACTTGTTATGAGCAGGTTGAGCTTTTCCTGAGGAGATGTCTCACACCAGGGGACATTGGCCAGAAGATTTACACAATGCTTTGGGCAGACCAACTAACCTATGATGTTAGCTGTGCGATGGAGAAGTGTTTTCAGAAACTGTGTTCCAAGTTTAAACACCATTACATGCTAGTGATCTATTGTAGCTCTGACAGAGAGCACACTTACATTCCTACTGCATTCAGTCAGTTCAAAAGAGACTTTGTGCCACAAGAGCCATTGGAAAGCATGCAGACGTACTTGTCCAGGCATTACACTCTCACCTCAGATCACAAGAATGCTGTGTTCAAAGGTGGCCATTCTGTTGGCATTGTTGCTTCCCGACGGGCAGGAGTAGGTGAGTCCTACATAGAGAGTTTTTTTGTCAAAAATGTACTCTCTGTGCCAGTGCTATGTAACAGAAGGGACGTAAAACGTATTAAAATTATCAAAGCAAAGGACCTTAATTTTGGTCAGAGGAAGTAGCAGGTTTACATCAACGGCTATCAGGAGAAATCAATGTTCACAATAATTAATTGAGTTTAACTCACAATAAATTCCCCTCAGGGAACCACACTTCTAAAAGGGAAAATTGATAGCCAATTGAGTTCTTGACTCATGACAGTATATTTCATATACACAAACCACATAATCAGGTTCTTTATAAATGAAAGATTTATTTAACTACTAACAAATAACTCTTAATTAAATGCATGACTACAGTAATGAGAGATTATAAATGCATGATTTTTTAATTATGAATATAGTCAAAACAATGACTGAAGACCAGGGTAGGGTATATCATGTGCGGAGGGAGCAGTAAATGTATTAGTTTGTGAATACACAGAAGATTACTAATTGGAGGAAACTGTTAGGGTTAACCAGCATAATTACCTTACTGCATCATTCAGCGGCTGAGGAGTTGGGGCTTCTTAAAACAATAAATAAAAGCCCCGGTGCAAGTTCTTTGTGGGGACCTAGGTCAGCATTATCAAATGTGTTTGTCCCACGTGGCTACCATTGGATTGATTTTAGCAACTTTAATTATGTGCACTGTATTATCTAAAGAAAGCACAAGTATCGGATCGTGATTCGTGAATATTATATGACTCAAAAAAACTTGATTGGGACATCCCTACTTAAATCAGTTCATTATTAATCACAAGGCGCAGAATTAAATTGAAAGATTTTTTTGTGTCTTTTGAAAACTAAATTCTTGCTTCTAGAGAACATCTGTAGCATATTCAACTTATTATTGAGGCCATCATTTCAGTCAGCAAAATTATATATGTCTATTTTCTCCATTTTAGGCAAGTCATTGTATGTCAAAAGATTGTATGAAAAGCTGGAAGGAAGTGTTGAACAAGGAACTGCATTTAAGAAGTGCATCCGATTAACTGAACATGAGGTGAATGACCAAAAGGTTCTCCAGTCTTTGTACGAAACACCAAAGCAAAAAGATCTCAAGGTGTTTCACTTTGATGTCACATCCTCGGTAAGCAATGTTTACAATGAAAGTTCTTCGATCTTTTTGAATAATGTGGTTCTCATCCTTAAGATGGTCAAAATGTTCTTTACCCAATAACAATAAGATTTTTTTTAATAATGCAAATTATATTACCCAGGTGCAAAAAGGCTTGAATGAATTCCTATTCAAGCTTTTCTTTTTGCGGTACCTGATGGATTCAGATGGACAGATGTGGCGCTGCAGCCACAAACACTTATACATTATTGAGTTACTGGAATCCACACATCATCAGCCCAGATATGCCTCCAGATCTGTAAGTTGAGATCTACTAATTGTGCATTGCTCATCTTATGAAATTATACAACCCAATTCTTTTGTTTTAATGTAATTATTGATATTATTGTTGCAAGTAATTTCCCCACTGGGATTATTAAAGTATTTCTGATTCTGATTTCTGATTCTGATCCTGGTCCAGTGAAATGTGAAAAACAGATATTTTCAAAATAACTAAAGTTGATTCTAAACTTGAATATGTGTATATTTGTACATCTTTAGGGACGAAAGGAAAACTTTGCATTCTCAGACGTTTTCCCTAAGGTGTATTGTCATCCACCAAAGGAGGTTATGGCTTTGGAAATGAGGAGAGAGGAAAATGCTGATATGGAGAGTGACGACCCCCTCATGGATGATGAATGTTTCATGAGTGAAACTTATCAAAGACCATACCAGTACCTCACACGTTTTTACAACAATGACAATCTTGACAACTTCACATACCGGGGCAATGAAGGGACTCATGCAAAGTGTCTTCAGATACTCTTAATCTACTGTGGCATTATAGATCCATCATGGGCAGAGCTGCGTAACTTTGTCTGGTTTCTTAATCTTCAGTTAAAAGACTGTGAGGAATCAGACTTCTGCAAATTTGAGTTTGTTGGAGACACTCTTCGTGGGTTCAAAAACTTTGTGGTTGAGTTCATGATCTTGATGTCCAAAGACTTTGCAACCCCATCACTATGCATCACTGACCAGAGCCCAGGGAGGCAACAAATTGACATTAGTGGGCTAAATGAAAGAGACTTAGCTCCATTCCTCGTTAGAAAAAGGTGGGAATCTGAACCACATCCGTACATCTTTTTTAATGATGACCACATGTCGATGACTTTCATTGGGTTTCACCTTGAGCTCAATGAGCAGAATGGGGTTGATGCCATAAATCCCTTGACAAGGGAAGTGATTAAGAGAAACATCATGACCCAAGAGCTGTACACTGGCTTAAGACTTCAGAGAGTCCCTTTTAATAGGGACTTTGATCAGCTTCCTCGAGCTGACAAGATTGAGCATCTGTGTAGTGTGCTTGGCATTAAGTGGCCAATAGATCCTGATGAAACATATGAACTGACCACCGATAATATTCTCAAAATGATGGCAATCCATATGAGGTTTAGGTGTGGCATCCCGGTCATCATAATGGGTGAGACAGGATGCGGTAAGACAAGGCTCATTAAGTTCATGTGTGAATTGAGAAGGTGCGGAGCACCCGCAGAAAACATGAAACTGGTCAAGGTTCATGGAGGAACTACATCAGAAATGATACATGAAAAGGTGAAGGAAGCAGAAACTCTTGCAAGAACCAATAAAGAGAATCATGAATTTGATTCAGTTCTTTTCTTTGACGAGGCAAACACCACGGAAGCCATCAGCAGCATCAAGGAAATTGTTTGTGACAACTCTGTGCAGGGACAACAACTCGGCTCTCAAACAGGACTACAGATTGTTGCTGCGTGCAACCCCTACAGGAAGCATACAGACAAGATGATTGAAAGGCTTGAAGCATCTGGATTGGGCTACCGGGTCAGGGCTGAGGAGACTGACGACAGACTTGGCTCCATCCCTCTTCGCCAGCTTGTGTATCGTGTTCATGTGTTACCTCCCAGCATGATTCCTCTCGTATGGGACTTTGGGCAGCTCAATGACTCAACAGAGCAAATGTACATTGAACAAATAGTGCAAAGACAGGCGAAGGCCAACTTGATTGACGCGCATTATATTCCAACTATAACTAAGGTTTTGTCAGAATCACAAAAGTTCATGAGGAAGAGGAAAGATGAATGCAGCTTTGTCAGTTTGAGGGATGTTGAACGTTGCATGCAGGTGTTTGTGTGGTTCCACAAAAATCATCCCATGTTTGCTAGGGAACTGAAAAAGTTCCTTCAAGAGCAAAATCAGAGGAAGAAAAATGCAAACAGGTTTCAACCTGCCAGTGACAAAGTAATCTGGTCACTCTTGATGGCCACTGGAGTGTGTTATCAGTCCTGCTTGGAAGACAAAGAGTTATATCAGAGCACTGTCAGTCAGTTGCTTCCTCATGAATACAACACAAAAAGATTACTGCAGGAAATCCAACTCATGCAGGACCTCCTACTCAATGGTGTACCCATGGGTAAGACAATAGCCAGAAACGAGGCATTGAAAGAAAATTTCTTCATGATGGTGATTTGTGTTGAGCTAAGAATTCCTTTGTTTATTGTTGGGAAGCCAGGGAGCTCCAAATCACTGTCCAAAACCCTAGTTGCAGATGCAATGCAGGGCCCTGCCTCACATTCTGAACTCTACAAGAACCTGAAGCAGATACATCTGGTGTCTTTCCAGTGCAGCCCTCATTCCACTCCTGAAGGAATCATCAACACATTCAAACAGTGTGCCCGCTTTCAGGAAAGCAAAAACTTGGATGAATACATTTCAGTAGTTGTTCTGGATGAAATTGGATTGGCTGAAGATTCCCCTAAAATGCCACTGAAAACACTTCACCCATTACTGGAAGAGGGCTGTGTTGATGATGAGCCACAACCCCATAAAAGGGTTGGGTTCATTGGAATTTCCAACTGGGCACTAGACCCTGCCAAGATGAATCGTGGAATTTTTGTGTCCCGCGGAGATCTAAATGAGAAAGAGCTCATCAAAAGTGCTAAAGGGATATGCTCGTCCGATGAAAAGGTTCTTGAAAAGATCAGACACCTCTTTGAGCCTTTTGCAAAAGCATATATGACCGTATGCAAAGAAGGCAGGGGTTTTTTTGGACTGCGGGATTTCTACAGTCTGATAAAGATGGTATTTTCAATTACCAAAATCACTAATGAGAGACCCACTGCAGATGAAATCACTGGTGCAGTCCTGAGAAACTTCAGTGGAAAAGATGATGTAGATGTGATGGCCATATTCTGCGAAAAACTCAGAGATGACTTTGCAAATGCCAGCATCACCACCAATGATTTGGTCAATCAAAGCATCTCTCCAGCTTGCCAAGTGGACCAAAGTCGTTACCTCTTGATCCTGACAAAAAACTATGCAGCTCTTCAAATTCTCCAACAGATATTTTTCTCTCACAAAATCCATCCAGAGATCATCTTTGGGTCCAGTTTCCCAAAGGATCAGGAATACACTCAGATTTGTAGGAACATCAATCGTGTCAAGGTTTGCATGGAAACTGGACAGACAGTTGTATTGCTGAACCTTCAGAATCTGTACGAAAGTCTGTATGATGCTCTCAACCAATACTATGTGACCCTAGGAGGTCAAAAGTATGTTGATCTTGGATTAGGAACACATCGTGTGAAATGCAGAGTTCACAAAACCTTCAGACTAATAGTCATTGAAGAGAAAGAGGTGGTCTATAAGCAGTTTCCAATCCCACTGATTAACAGGTTGGAAAAACACTACCTTGACATCAACACTGTTCTTAGAAATGAGCGGAAGGACACTGCCAGACAACTACACGAATGGGTTGATAGTTTTGTTTCCTTAAGTAGTCAACACTCCATAACAAAGCAATATGTTCCAAGTGATGTCTTCATCGGCTACCACTCTGACACATGCTCCTCCGTGGTCTTGCAAGTAACAGAGAATCAAAGTGCTGAAACAGATGCTCAAACCATTCTGGACAAAGCCAAAGACATTCTGCTCAACTGTGCCACTCCAGACTCAGTTGTTCGTCTGGACAAATCCAGACTTCCTGATGAAGAAAGAGAACATTTGATGAAAGAATATGTAAAAGAGGAGATGCACAGTTCATTGGGAGACTACATTATCTATCACACCCAGAAGGAACAGTCCTGCTTCTTCTTCACTGAGGTAAGTATTTTTTACTGTGTTATCAAATATCACAGGGAAAATCCCCAAAAAGCAATGTACCTCAATTAACACATGAGAAAGAAAATATAAACTAAAATACAAAAGAGTGTTATTGAAGAAATAATTACGGTACAAAAAATATCACACCTGCAGTCATAGGCAAAGCTAACCTAAGCTGTAGTATTCATTATAAATCACAGATAATTCTTTTGCTTTTTTGAAGGTCACAACATTTTCCAGGCTACTGACTGCAGCAGACACTCATCAATTGCAGAATGTAACCAAACTTGATGTCAGGCTGCTATCACTGCAGCAGTTTGACACAGAGTACTCTTTCCTCAAGAAAATCAGGTGTGTAAATTGAGTATAAAGAGCATGGTGCAAATGTCAGTCTAACTAAACAGTGGTATTTTCTTACACCTTTATGCTTACTTAGTTGTTTTTTTTCCTGAGGACAATTATAAAACTGTTAATATTGTTCATTACACTGAGTAGATATATGTTCCTGCATATGACTGTCACTCTGATCACTCCATCTGTTCAAATGTAAATCACGCCTATGTCCTGAATATTAGGGAATTTCTTGGCTCAACACCTGCAGACAAAGTGCTCATTATCCAAACTGACTATGTTGAAGACTCCCACAGCAGGAATATTCTTTCCTCAGCCAAGTGAGTCCGAAGATTATTACTTTATTTCATATGTTTCTCTAACATTACTGCAAAAACTCTGATTTTTCCCTCTTTCCTTGTACTTGCACTCAATGCTTGGATTTATATAGGTATTCATGCATCAACGAAATAAACAAGTGGGACACTGCTGACAACAAACACACAAAACCAAAGGCATTTGTGTACTTTGTCACCAAACTTCCTCGAATCGAGGGTGGGACCTCCTATGTTGGGTTTCAAGGCGGTTAGTCACACACACAGAACATGACAAATCTATTTCATGTCAGGGACAATAGACTTTGTTACCATTACAGTAAGACATAATATTAATTTATATAGAACCTTTTCAAGTAACAACAAAAAACAAAACTAAAAGAGCAGACAGTTTTAACAACAGTCCAAACGTACATTTCGCATTTTCATTAATCTGACTTTTTTTCCAGGTCCTTGGAGGTCTGTTCACATTGATGATCTTAGAAGATCAAAAGAGTTTGTGTTTGATGTTCATTCCTTGAAAAATCTACGCATAAGTGATCTTTTTGAAGATCCTCCTGAGGGTAATTCATCAAAAATCTTACTTTTTCCCTAAAGAATGCTATGTATTTTAAGTAAACCTATAATTGTCTTACTTTTGAAGCCATGGAGACCGAAGACCACACCAGTGTGCCACAAAATGATGACTCTACTGTAAGTGTAATTTACCACCCATATTTATAAACCTGAAGAACAAGAGGATCCTGATTACCAATCAGGCCACATAACCAAAATACAATGTACTAATCTCTGATGCCTGGTTAAGTGGAAACTAACTGTAGAACTTTAACATTTGCCAACAGTTTTTCTTTTACTTTTGTTATCTACTTGCCTATTATTGTTGATTAGCGATGCTAGATATACCTAGCTTAACAACTAATTCAGCAGAGTCAGAGTATACAAGTATAAAACTCAAATGGCCAATGGCTGATAAAGGAGATAATGTAATTAGGCCAGTTTGAAAAATGATTAGAGGACAGTTAAAAGATTTGAGAACTGGAGTTCACAACCTTCATTAGGACGGTTTTGAGAGGTACCCATTATAATAGGTCATTTGAATTAAAGGTTTTATATTCAAAAGATTTCAGTGATTTCACTGAATTAAAATTGTAATTAAAAAAGTATACCTAAGCTGCGTAATTAGAATTGAAAACATATGGGAACTAGTTGGTAGATGGAAAGCAACTCATAGATTTTGAATGTTAATTGGAAGATGACTGAACTGTGCTGGGGTATTCACTTATAGAACATGTTTCCTTTTTCAGAAGCTGTTGTTAATTTATATTTTAAATATTTTTGCAGGTTTTGGGAGATTTGTTTGATACAACAGATCTGATGAGGAGCTGTGTGCAGAGTGCAGTGAGTATGCTCAGAGATGCAGCAGACAGTGGAGAACTCAGCACTCATAGAGTTGTGAACCTGCTCACACTTCTGGATGGAAGTCAGACAGAAGGTTAGAAAATCAGTCATTCAGGGTCATCGTTTTGATATCTACTCTGTGTAGTGAAAATACATATTACTAAAAAAAGTAAATTTTTGTTTTTAAGGTGTGTTTAGAAGCATTGTGAGGAAACGTCTCCACTCACTGTTAAAGGAATATGAGGACAACATCCCCAATCCAAAAAGCTGGGTTCTGAGGGAGGCATCTAATGTCGATGCTCTTCAAGAGGGGGGAACATTCTTGTAGGTCTCTCCTTTACATCTCTTACCATAGCTGTCTACATGACCCTTTTCTTTGCTATATTTGCTTACAATCTTGTCATTTATTCATCACTTATTTAAATCTATTTTGCTATGGTCTAAAATGTAAAATGCACTACTGCAAACCTCAGCTAAACAAGCTGTTTTCAACTCAGGTGCTCAACTGTCAATTCTTAATATGCAACATGCATATGCAAATGTTAATTTTAAGAAAGTCACATGAATATTTCTTACAGACACACACTGTGGAGGAAAATCCAAGCAGTTGTTACTCCACTTCTAGCCAACTTGGTCTCAGTCATCGACCGAGATTGCAATTTGGACCTTCTGCTGAATGAGTCTGATGACATCAGGAGCCTATGGCTTGAGATATTTGCGAGCAAAGAGATGCTCTGTGTACCTTATGTGACGATGGAAAGCAAGTGAGTATGATCATGGTATCTATAAAGCTCAAAGCCATTTTAAAGTAGGTTTCATAGACCACCTGTCCAATCAGCTTCCACCTACAACTCAACACACTGAGAAAACAATGGAACAAGTTAAACAGCACCACCCCCAGGCAGGGAGGTGAAGAGATGGAAAAATGAAAGCTTGTACTGTACTTGTTCTTGGTTCACTCATTGCGTTGTCCAAGTCAACATGTGTGTGAAATCTGTAATTGCCCAAATCGTTCTTAAATTATAGCTAAAAACCTAGGCTATATTTGAAACCGAACACAGCCCTGGAGAGTGAATGACAAAGCAGTGAGTTGGAGAAATAAAAAGTTAATATCTGACTAACCTGTCATTTTGCAACCAATGAAAATGTTTAGTAGCATGTGCAATGTTTGCACCCTGGAGCCCTGTGATTCCTCTGGCTTATAAAATTACATTCTTAATACTTGCATCCTGCCTCTCTTACAGCTCCACTGTCTTCATGGTTCAAAGTCACATCACATTTGGCCACACCATGCACTGCCTCCTGCCCTTCAGCTGGTGGATCAAAGACTTCCTGGATGGGCTCATGATGCAAACATCCAGACATGAAAGTAATTATCATACTGTAACTAAGTAATATATCCAAAAGTCTTCTGTCCTTGATTTTTTACTTCATAACTGACTTTTTGTAGTTTGAACCCTAACACATTAGCGGCTTTCTCAACATTTCTTTGCAGTTTGTTCACCTGTACATTTCCAAGAGTTGTTCTTGAACACTCGTCTTGGCAGTTACATGGCTAAAAATTTAAATAAAAAAATGAAGAAAGAATTCTTCGAAAGGTACCTGCAGGATTTTGTTTCCATGACCATGAACATGGCATCAGATGAAGAATTACAGGTAGGCGTAAATCAAGTGCTTAATGACTGTGTCCATTAGCTGCTATACTATTGCTTCCTCAAAACATTGTACTGTATATAAATTCCAATGCAGTTAAATACAACAATCCCTTTTAATATCTCACTGCCAAAATATTTAGCATACATTTGAATAAACACCCTTTTGACAAATAGCATTATAAGCTTGAAAGAGATGGAATTATTGCAGTTCTTTTATACTGCGTTACATTCATACATTCATAACAGGGATTTGTATTTTTCAGATACTTACCTAATCCTAACCTATACAGTACATATATATTTAAATATAAACAGAATGACCAAGTATTATAATCCGCAAAAGATTTAATGAACAGCCATGAACAGGAGCTGCTTACTGTAAGGGAAGCATTATACAATGCTCTCTAAGGGGTGAAATTTAGTGCATTATGATTTTCACTGAATTTAAGCACTGGTCCACTATTTGTTTGCATTGCAGCAAATGTTGTATTTGTGATGCTTGCACTTGGGTTATTGGAAAGTTCATATGTTTTAAATGCTCCAGTCAAATGCACCTTAATCTGGTTACTCATTGTTACAGTTAAAAACAGCTACTGTATTATAAATATGTCTGTGCATTTTCTCCTCAGCTCTTGTGTCTGGCCCTGGGAAGCTGCGTTGAGGAAATACGCAGACAAAAAAGAGATGAAACTGAGCTTTCCGTTTCTCACATCCACATCGCCTACCATTTCTACCAAAGTCGTCTTCAGAACCTCTCACGAACGATATCCCTTCAGCCTGAGGTTGTTTCTCTTTTGCGAAGAAACCAGCACGTTAGAAATTGTCCAGATATGGTAAACACATTTTTAAATATCAGCAATTTGAACTGAACAAAGTCAATCATGCAAAGTGTTATGATGTTTTTTCATGCACTGAAGTTTGTCACAAAGATGCTTACAGATTAAAAAAAATTCAGTCTTACATGGTGTTATAAGTAAATAAATTATCAGATTAATCAATTAAGCAAAAAAATAGAGGTCAGCTTCAGTAAACACTTTTTGTAAAAAACTAAACAATATTTACAACCCTCTAATTATGTCCTGTCATGTAGGTTTTGGATGTCCATGCGGCCACAGCATGCATTGAAAGTCTGGGGTCTCCTAATTTAGATACTGATGCTCTCTGCCAGCGCTGGCTGAAGCAGGTCAAGAGGCTTCAAGCCTCTTTGGAGTTGATTTGTTCTCAACAGAACACCAGACAATATGGAGGACGATGCAAAGAAATAATCCACGATGTCAGGTAAGATGCTGATGCACAGGAATGGAGTAAATACATAATTACGTATGGCTGAATAGGTTGTGTCTGGATGCTTAGGTTTCCTGTCAAAGTTTGGTTACAAGCAGATTAGAGGACCTGGGAACTTTAAATTGTCCCTATGTGTGAATGGTTTTTAAAAAAATTAGATGCAGCCCCCCAATAACAACTACAGGAGGAAGCAAGTCAAGTTTTCTTCCTAGTTCTTCAGATGAGATGAAAATAATGCTTCAATCATTTCAGTCTGAAGCTGATGTTTTGTGCTACTTCTTGGCTGTCTGACTCAAGCAGCAGAGCAGGATGTCCCATAGCATTTTATAGTGGCCTGAAATAAAGAGCACATCTGCTTAAGTCAGAAGAAAATATAAATCTTTTATAAAATACAATATTAAACGTATTAAGCTTCATGGAAAACAAGCAATGGTGGTATTTCACATTTCACAGGCTATGTATTTAATGAGTGAAGTGATTGTTTAAACTTGTGCTTACTGTCTAACTTCCTGGGGAAATCCTGCACGGATGTAAAATACTACCTTAGAGTATGTTGAATCTGTGTATATTTCTACAATAAACTAACTGTGATTTTTATATATTTATTTTATAGTAATGGCTGGAAGCGCATCTACATTCTCTCATTGTTTGTGGAGCACATGCTGCTGGGTTTCCACCATGAGGACAATCAGCTCAGAACACTTGTACTGAATCAAATTAAAACCTTAAGCAAGGTGAGTAGATTTCTAATCTACAATATATTCGACAAACAGACAAGCAATGTGCCCTACATCCAGTGTGATGGACATTTTATTTTTAACTCATCTACCTTGAGGAGAATTTTGGTGTATTGTGATGGTCTACACACTCCTGGCACATTTTGCCACCTTACTGTGTCATATTTTATATATATATATATATATATATAAGTTCAGCATGGCTATTATTTTATTTCTGACCTATTTCTGTTAAGGTTCTGGAGGGAAACTCAGATGTAAAATCAATGAAGGCTTTTCAAGCTGTGATTAAAGTCCTCAAAGACTGTAAGCAGAGGGCATGTGATCAGGCTTTCAGGTAAGGCCTTTGACAGTTCTGTTCTTTTTAATGAAATGGTGAAGAATGGAATTTAGATACACTTCAGGGAATCTGATTGACATTGGTTTCATTTTCAAGGTTCGGGCTTCAGTGTACGGTGTGCATGAGGGAGCCACAGGACCCTGTAGGGTTGCCATGTCATCACATTTACTGCTCCACATGCATCAGGGCAAGCCTCGATGCAGGACAGACTTCCTGTTCCATTTGCAGGCAGGAGTTACCAAATAACTTTCAGCCACAGGTGTCTGAAGATATCAGGTGAGTTTTTTTTAAATATTTTATATACCATTAAAGAAAAATCCAAAGGTCCAGAAAAAAGTGACACTTTGTTTGCTATCATAAACTTGATTCTGGGCCATCTGTTTAATGAGCCGCCTGCCGTATATAAAAACTTATGTGTGTGCACTCAGCACTTAATCAGTGATTTTCTATTGTGTGTACACCTATCCACAGCACCCATCCATCTGAGCATGAAAGGGCACTTTAATACTTTATCAGACACTCTTTTTTGAAAGACCTAATCTATGCTAGGTCAGGGTTAGGGTGTGCGTGCAGTTTTAGTCTTGAGTTTTAGAGTGTCATTTTGGGGGAATTATTTGCCCAAGATTATTATTCTAAAAAACACTGATAAAAAGTCTTTTTTATATTATTTGCATTTGATTTTTGTGACTCTGCAGGGCTTCTATCAAGAAAAATGCAGAATTCAGGCAGCGTTGCAATGGCTTCTTCATTGATCTGCTCTCCACTGTGTGCTTCAAGGACAACACACCACCAGCCAGAGATGTCATCAAACACCTGTTGTCCTACCTGATGGTTGAGACAGGTACCATATCATTGTTTCTTCTTTGTTTTCTTCACCTTCATTTCTAATGAATCTGGATTTGCCTGATACTGCAAATGACAACTTTGACCATTATGTACATATAAATTCTCTATCTATTTATACTCTATAAATAAATTATTTGACACCTTTAATACAATTTGTATATATATGTAAGATGGTTTTTAAACAGTAATTATTTATGTGTCCCTTTTTCTCATTTTATATGTTCGGCCACTCTTTCTGTTTATATGAAACATACTTAAAATACTGTACAATCTGCTTGTTTTATTGAATTAAGATTACTATTAGTCTTTTTTTGTTACTAATATGTACTACAAATTATTTGTCTAACCAGAACATGAACAGATTTACACCAAAGATCTGTCGCCTTTTGACGAGTCACCAGATAAAAATCCAGTCGTGCGATCTGTGATCCTCAAGCTACTGCTGAAGTTCAGGTAAGTAACCCTAATGTGGGATTGTTAAACATATAAATTTAAATTATTTAAACAGTGTAGAGGTCTTTGGCAACATTGCTGATTTGGTTGTCAGAAAATGTCTGGATACATTTAAGCTCCTCTGCTTCACCTTGCAAAGCTCTTGTACATATGACGGGTGTGATGAACTTATTTGCATTTCAGCTTTGATGAAGTCAAGGAATATTTGCAGCAGCATTTGTCATCAGTGGAAGACAGCAGATTTGTGGATGAGGAGGACAAAGCACAGCTTTATGCCCTGTACATCAACTGCTTGGAGGTAAAGCATATTCAAAACAACGATATAACAGTACTAGTACTAATACAGTAAAACTGTGTTAATATATTTAACTGTAGAAGATTTCACCACAAATAAAATAATTCCTAACCTTTTAGTTTATGAAGCAGCAATAAAAACATTGTTGCTGTGAGTCTGTAAGTGTGAGCTCCTGAAACCAAATTATTTCTGTAGCAGGACATTCCACATCCCATTTACTATTATTCGGTCTTTGAACTTTTTACAGGGCGATTGAGTGCCAGTAAGGTCAACCATTTGTCTGGTAATAAAATAAGTGAGGTCAGATTGATTAAACGATTGTAAAAAGGTTTTGCTTCTGCTGTACTAGTGGGCCAAATATTTTTGTTTGATGGCCAGTTCTGGAAGACTGTGGATGGCAGCTGTACCACAAACTGTTGTTTCAGTTTCTGCTCATTGCTGATGCAGGTCAGTTGAAGTGATAGTTTACTGATGCTCCCTTAACATCTTTTCTCTGCAGGACTCCATGTGGGAGAAAATGCCTCAGGAAGGCGACAAGGCTGAAGAGTTTAAGGCATCCTTCAATAATGAGATAAAATTTATACACTTCTTTTTGGCTGAAGTCACTTCTGTTCCAGCAACAGTGTCTGTTCAACATCTGCAGCACATCGCAAAATTGCGTCTGTCCCTAACTGTGGCTGCCAAGCTCATCAGTGACAGTCTGTCTGGTGAGAGACAATATCAATACAGCTGACAGTTTCCTTTAGTTATCAATGAAAAACAATTAAGAATGTATTTGACTACATTGCTTTGCAGACTCTAATGTCCCAGATGGAGCAGAAGATTTCCTGAACACGGTGATTAAGCTCTGTGAGGACAGTGGGAATGATTGGTACCGTGTTTACCTGATCCGCAAGCTCAGCGAATGGAAGGGTGTTGAGTTTGTCCAGACGCTGGTGAAACAACAAGAGTTTACATGGCTGTTCCCGAAAGAGATCCTTCAGCAGGTACGCAACCATTCATTATCAAATTCAATACCAAAAATGTAGGAATCATAAAGCAATGTCACCATTATTACATGATGTATTACAATCTTCAGCAGCACTCATCATTTGATAGTGTGCAGGTCTTCATTTACTAAAACATGGAAACAAACATGGAGTTCCAGATTTTATCCCGGCTTCTAGTGCATGGCCAGTGGATCAGAAAAATGACTGAAATGTAACAAATGTTATAATGCTGAGATAAACAGCTGCTACAGGCTCTATAAAACAATTATCAATCAACTCAAGTCTCATCTACACGGAAGGTGTGAAATCATTTTCCCACTCTATCCCATATGAGATAGGCAGTGATAGGACATGACAGATGCAGTGGCATTTAACATTTCCAAAGATATGGTATCTTTTGTTGTCTGTTTTTAAAAAAGAAAATTGATTAAAATTATAAATTGGGTGTGGTGTGAAAGATTTTATTTTTAGGCCTTATCGACTAGCTCTACCCGTTATTAGAATATTCCTGACTCAGGGAACCGGCATCTCAAATCCATTTAATATCTATGTGTTTGGATATATTACGACATGTTTTTGCTCCTCTAACTCGATTCATGGTGTGAACAGAATGAAGATGGAGGCCAGATGGACCAGTTTCTTGTGTATGGAGAGGAATACAAGGCGGTGAGGGATGCAGTTGCCAAGGCAGTGGTGGACGGTGATGTTGACCAAATAGAAGAAGCCTGCGAGGTATTAAAATTTTAGTTACCTCTCTAAAATCTTAACTGCTGCAAGTAATGTTCCAATCTAGTGATTTTGAGATCGTTTAGCCCTTCTTCTACAACATAATCACAGGTAATCATTTTACAAATACTGTTGTAGTGTATTACGAAATATACTTTGTTTTCCATTCCAGACATTAATGGGTTCAATTAATTATTGTATTGTATGAAAATGAACCAGCGGAGTCTTAGTTGTGTCCATTGTTATAAATCAGTTTGCCCATTCAACAGTAGAATAGTATCTGCTCACTACTTACTTTTTGTTTGTTTTCCATTGATTTAGAAATGCACTGTGCCACCAAGGAATCGAACAATGTTCGTCCTCCTGGCACTTTTCAGAGAGGTTACAACTCTGTATAAATCTGCAAATGCAAGTCTTCATCCAACCCCTGAGGTATGAGGAGCAAGCCAAGACATGCACAATGACTGATCTCATTTTGGATTTTAATAACAAATTGTAAATGTCACAACAACAAAAACAACACACAAGATAAATTAATCCCCTATGAAAGGTTCTGCGTCTGCTTAAAGCATTTAAAACTATTTGGTTTTCTGCATGTTCAACACCACCATCCCATGTCATTTTGAAATGAGATGCAATTAAATACACTGATTTTATTTAAATCAAAAATCATAAAAAGGTCATAACCTATGATAATCCCTGATGAAGTCATAAACACAAGAACAGTTTTCACAAGCTGAGGAGTATTCATGACAAAAGCACTGATCTAAATATTATGATTTAAAAAGAGTGTTGAGATATCACATAAATGTAATTTCCTTTTAACTGTAATATTACTGTAAGTGAATCAAAGTTGCAATAGGAAATTCAAGGAAATTGAACAAATCTCTGAACGAATTACAAAACATACCTAGCAGAGCCACACATTTGGAAATGTACATAATTTAACATAAGTTAGAAAAAAGTATCTATGGCTAGATAAGATCATAAATGACTGTTTACCATTACTTTAGTATGAAAGTCTTTTTTCACTGTATACCATTTTATATCTTCCCTGTAGCAATGCCAATCATTTGGAGATCTCATCCAGGGCTCAAGGTATCTGCATCAAAGAGAAGTAAGAGATTTTGCTTCAGCCTTGGTTCACAACAGGTTGGGAGCTCTGGCCATGTCTCCTGGTAATACGCTTGGAGACAACACTGTCATTGAGCTGACCATCCATCTGGCAGCCGTGCTGCTCACTGGGACTCACCTCCTGGTCATGCCACTCAAGCAACTTGGTCTGCTTCCTGAAAATATGCAGGTAAACATGTATAATATCTGCTTCTGTAAGCCATTTCAACTCTCCTAGTGTGAGCTGCTCTGTTTTAAATGATAGAAGGCGCCTTTTCAATTCAATTTAATTTGTATAGTGCCAAATCATAACAGAAATTCTTATATTGTATAGTAGTGTTGGGAGTGTTTTCAAACTTCAATGAATGGGGATTTTTTTTCCCAAAACAGTGCTCCAAAAAATGAATTCAATTTTAAAACTAATTACATTTTCATATTGACCAGCAACTCACAGATACATAATACATATTTTGTCCTATAAGGCGGACAAAATATGGATAATTCTGTAAATTCATTACTGCTCACTTGCTAAACTGGATTATAAAATCCAAATCTAGAATTTTTGTAAGGAAAAGGGTCTTTAAATTACTTATAACTTCAATAATAGCTGAATATTACTTTCATGCCAACTTTTACATTTTCATTTTATTTAAACCAACAGGGGGCATTTATACCCACAATGCCTGATGACATGCTAGCTGTTGCCCAGGCAGTCATACAACAAGACTATGGGCAGCTCACTTGGTATAGTAAGTACTGTTCTTTCATATATAAACTGCAGTTTTAAATTATTGCTTCTTGCAGCTTCATTCATTGGATCATTTGCATCTTGGGTTTCTCAATAATCAGTATTAATTCTTTGTTTTTCACAGTGTGTCCAAATAATCATCCATGCTTTGTTGATGAGGTAAGATATTTTCATGCAGTTCTAGTTAATTTATTTGCAAAGCAATTACAGACATAAAAACATACAGTTGATAAGAAATTTGCTGATCTGCTATGTTCCACTGCAGTGTGGCCTGCCCATGCAACGGGGCCGATGTCTGGAGTGTGGCCAGGAGGTTGGAGGGGACAATCATTTAGCCTTGCCTGGATTCAGACCAATTCAGCTGCAGCAGTGAGTGTCATTAATGGTGAAGCTACAGTAATGCAGAAAACTGTCTTTTTAAGTATGTTTCCTTCTTAAGTTCTTCCCGTTTAAATGGGATTTTTGTGAGTGGGACATAATATAAGATTGGATCATTCGAAACTATTGTAATTATTTTGTGGGTGGAAAATAAGCAAAGTTGTATGGTTGTTTAAGTAGAAAAATATCTAGTATATTGCCAGCTGCCCATATTGTGGATTTATGGGAACTACCGATGTTCAGAACATTTCCAACATCAAATAAAAGTACGCCAGACTTATATATTAAGAAAACTGTTCTAATCAAATGAAAACGTATAACACCATAATTTGTGTTTTTTAAAGCTATTTTGAATGTAGTTGTACCACCACATGACTGACTGACAACGTGATGCTGTAATATATTATTTTAGAGATCACACAAGGCCTGGGCACATCCTGGGAGACCCTGAGCGGAGAAACAACCTAGATGCCCTGGACACCAAAAACATGTCTCTGACTCCTTTCACTCTAGTCAGGCTGGTTACACATTTGGCCATGTTACTGGGAGCCTCAGAAAAGTCCCAGGTGAGCAGGTGAAGTTAGTTACCCACAAAATAAATATATATATATATCAAGTATCTACATCAGCAGTTTGTGTGTAGTTGGAATTATTTTGCATATTTTTAATATATATAAAGAAGTGATAATTCCGTCCTGTTCTTTTGAATCCGACTGTAACATTGTCCCACACTCTCTGTACCTTTAGTTTGTCCAGCACATCATCCAGCCACCTGTGGAAGATGTTAGTTTGTTTCTTGCTCTACACATAATGAAGGATCTGGATCAGCTGTCACAGGCACTGGGAAGAGGAGCTGACGACACTGTTACAACTGTCCACTTGGTGATCAAATCCCTGCATGAGCTAGTGCAGGCCAGTCACTGTAAGCCCAGTCAGTCACTGTTAAATAATTGTTTTCTAATTTGTCTAAATCTCATACGGGTCCTACCCAAACTAATTGAGACACTGGAGACACAGTATGTGCCCAAATTAAATTTGAGCATCAAATACTGGTGACTAATCAGAATTTTAAATGATAAGTAAAAACAGATAGCATTCCTTATAGTTTGAGGTACACAGTCTGCTTGATGTTGATCATTTAAGACAGACAATTGTTAATGTTCCTATCTGTTTTAACAAGCTCTATAAACTGTTATCTAGCTGTAGTGCTATTTGCACATTGTGTCAGTCATATGACAAATCATGGAGCTTCTTTTTCATTCTTGCTTGTTCAGTATTACCAGGATTGACAAAAATACTGTCACCTAAAAATTAATTTACAAAATACCTTCTGTTTGACTTTGTCTAGCTGGTATTGATCCTTCCCTAACAACCAAAGAGTCCAGAAACACCTGGGAGACTACTGTGGCTGCAGATATTATGACACCTCAGCTGAGGGTAAAACCTTTAACCTTTTCTCATTGTTTGACTCATGACAAAGCTATTAGAAAATGGGTATTTTGACTTGTACATATAATGTATATGGCCAGAATACTTTTATCATAAGCTAGTTTTATAATAATATAACTTAATTTGTTATGTTGGACTTTAATAAACAGCTGCTCTTCATATTCTAGATTTCATATTTAGATTTTATATCTATCATTTGTTGGCATTTTCTCTTTTGCACAAAACACAAAGCTGCAGTTAACTTTCCTTCTACCATTACCAATATTTTATGTCCAGGATCTTGATCAACTCCTGCAAGATGCAAAGGGCAGCATCAGGACTGACTCCCGTGTTTCTTCCAACTTTATCATGAGGACTACCTTCGGTGATGATTGCACCTTCCTGACGTCTCTGGCTCAGGGCTCTCAGGTCCACAGCTCAGCGGTTTGGAGCTGCAGAGAGAGGCTGTCAATGCTCACCCTCACACACATTGTGGAGCAGCATGACCAAAAGGAGGAGCTGCCTCTTCTCTGGAGGTTCCTGCAGAAGGTGAGGAGCAAGTCATCTAGACAACTACCGGACAGATTGCTATGACGTTCTTTGTAGATAATTCTTTACAAATCTATTTAGAGCAGTTATATGTTTTGACCTCATGGCCTTTGATCCAGAGTTAACAGCAATTCATAGTTAAAATTGTTCAGTCGATTTAGTAACTATATACATTCAGATGATGAGATTTTCTTTTTTGCAACCATAACTTTTATGTAACCTTCATACCAAATATCAACCATGACTACAAGATTCTTATAATCTATAAGTAACAACTTGCCATGGTATTTGATGAGTAAATTCTTGCTCCTAAGGGGGGCACACATCCACCACTGACAGGATAAATGTTACATTATTATTTTTACCCCTTTTTTTCAAATTTAAAAAAAAATGTGGGTAGTAATGATCAACAGATTTATGATAAAAAACAAAAAAACAAATTGGAATAAAAACCTCTTGAGAATTGTCAGTGGTTATGAGGCATAATTGGTTTTCAGATGTTTCATTTGTGTTTTTCTTTTTCAGGAGAGAGAATTTCGGCAGATTAAGTTCCTTCCAAACATCTTAATCCTGCAGAGACGCTTGGTGAGAAATTTCCAGAACGCATCTGACCAGATTGTGGGCTCCATCAGAGACTTCATTGAAGGGCAAAGAGGTACAGCTGTGATGTCTCTGAGCAATAAATAGACCTAAGCCTTGTTTGTTCACAAAATGTTGAATTTACTAAACTCTCAAGAACAGAACAAACAACTTTCTTTTTCTTTTTCATACAAACTTCAACATTTCTTATTTCAGAAATGAAGACATGGTATGACAAACACATTGACATCTTCCTGAAAACATGGAATCTACTCAAAGAGTCTGTAGCCAGCCGTAAGTAAAGCACTTATCTTCCTCTTTTAAGGTGATGTTTTGGGTATTTTGAAGTGGGGTTGTATGAGATACTTACCCATCGTACAGTAGACAGAGGTTAGCACCACCCCAGTTTGAAGAAGCAGACAGGAGTGAAGCAAAGCAATGCACTGGGTCTGTAGAAAGACATACCCACCTCAAAAAAATCAATATCAGTTTAAGTATATGCTATATATACACCTACAGCTGACCGCCATCTACCGACTATGGATAAATACCTCAAACAACCCCACTTCAAAATACCCAAATTATCCCTTTTTCTCTTTACTGATGGAAGCATGGCAGTCATAATGAGTGCATCTTTACTTGTCCACTCTATTTCTGTTTTTCTCTGTGCTGCAAGGCTCATTGGATCAACTCTGTTGTGTTAATATTGTGATATAACTAAATTTGGTTTTAATTTAAATTTAATGCATTTGTAACCACAGCAATGCAATTTTGATATGCAATGCAAATAAGGAATTATTTATGCCCTCTCCAACCTACAGATGAGCTAAAGATCCCGGATGAATTTTGCAGCGAGGATTTGGACCTGAACAGTGACCTGCAGTACCTCCTGCCCCGGCGGCAGGGTCCAGGCCTGTGTGCCACAGGGCTGGTCAGCTACCTGGTTGCGCTACACAATGAGCTGGTGAATGCTGTGGATAGCCACACCGGAGAGGACAGCAGGTACAAAACATACACAGAACCACAAAAAACAAGTTTGTTCTCCAACTAAGAGCAGAAGAGAAATTTACTAATGATGCAAAATGCTACATTATCAATGCTGCTTTGTCACTGTACTGTAAAGGACAAGTTCATCATTTTTCAAGTCTGTCTGAAAAGAATAAAACAAATGGTATAATAAAGAGAGCATATATTTTTGGATAAAGGAATGTTAATCCAGGAATAAAAAGCTCATATTTGCATTGTGATGTCTGCAGCAGTTACAAAGTGAGTGTGGCAGAGCTAACGGAGCAGCATGTGATCCAGTATGAGGTGGAGAAAGACCTGCTTCCTCTAGTTTTATCCAACTGCCAGTACAGCTTGGAGCGTGGCCATGAGACAATATCACAATATGACCTGCCCAGGATCCAGCAGCAGATCCTCACACGCTTCCTGCAGGGAAAACCCCTCATCACCCGCACAGTGAGTCCACACAGCTGGTTTGGTTACCACAAATGACAGAAGCATTCACTTTTGATAATATTATTAAATAAGTCAATTGTAACACCAGTGTCTATGGCAAAATGAACTGAATTAATTGCCGTACCGTGAAGAAACCTACAATAAAACATAACAGCTACCTCAAACATCACTGTATGAACAGACCACCTTGGCAGAGGTCTGCGCTGTCATTATTGCATGTGCTGTGTTGTTATATTTTGTAAATGCCTGCTACTCTAAACTCACTGTGCTTTATTCTAGGGAATTCCAACCCTGGTCAAAACACAAGAGAGAGACTATGAAACCATTTTCAAAGCAGTGAAAGGAAAAGTGCCTCAGGTAAATGAACGAACCCTGTACATTATTTTTGTAATGGAAACAGAATTACATTTCCCTTAAATGTGTTTCATCTCACAGTAAATTCACCTAAAAAAGATTATGATCACACGTTACCAGAGTCTGGGGTTCCTCAAATACCGTGTGACTGTGTTTAGGCCTGGGTGGGTTTTTTGACAGATTGTTTTCCCTAATGCTTAAACCTAACCTAACCTAATTATTAAACAAATACAGATTATTATATTTTTACAAAAAAGACTTTGTTATATTTACAGTGTTTTGTTAAATGGCAGGTCAATAATCTGAAAGGCAATAGATATTCATACATAGATAATTGAACGTAAATTAGTTGTAATATTTGACAATGATTTACATATAAATACAGATGGCTTCAGGCTTCATTCATACTTACATACTGTTGTTTCTTCAGGATGCTTTGTCCTCTCTCATCCGTAACGCCTTGTCCAGAGTGCTGGACTCTTACAGCGAGGTTTGTGAGGCTCTGAAGATTGTGGAACTGATCCTCGGTTTCCTCTCAGTGACTGGTGGTGATCCCATGATGTCGCTGGTCACTTACCTCCAGGACAACCTGAAGATGGTTGACCACATCGATCATCACATTTCGCAGGTCGACGCATAAGCAGCCTCTTTGTCTGAAGTGTTCAGACTGTATGGAACAGACTCTTTACTCTGCTGTGTTGTTTCTTCAGGCTCTGAGCAGATGCAGACTCGGACACTGTGTTTCTCTGTGGCAACTCCTCTCCTCCCTCAAATCTGAAAAAATGCTGCATCTCAAGAGGGTAAGTGTTGCTTTTGCAGCATTTTTAGGCCGGATGGAAAATCACTTAAACACCGGAGCACTGTGTCATATTATGTCCCATCAAAAATATGGAGTAATGTTTTCAGTCATTCAGTTTTATTTGTTTGTCACTTCAGTGTATTCTTCAATCACAAAATGTTACTCTGAATATACACTTATATTATAATTTAACACATGTACAATACCTCACTCCATGCTTCTATAAAAAGGAGCCCTTTTCGGGGTATCCAGCGGAGTACCAGGTGCCGCTGACAGAGGAAGACAAGATTGAGCTGAAGGGCTTCATGTCCAGGGGAAACGTGGACCAATGGCTGCTTGAGATGCACGAGTTCCTCCTGTTGAATCTGGGCCGCCTGCGGGCCACTGAGGACTTCAACCCATCGTGGGGGTAAACCTTTCAAACATTTTCACAATTTTCCTCGCAATTGTTACTCCCATAGCCCCAATATATCCTCTGAGATGTGAATTAACCCCCTAAGTACAGTACAAACTCATGCTGTGCAGCTTAACAATGTTTATTATTTCAGTGTAGATCCCAAATCTATTTGGCTAATTCTACTTTATATAAAGTAAATCTAAAATATCCCACTTCATGGAATGATGGACGAATACATATTATGTATCACTCGTGAATTTCAATTTTGTTATGTTTTCAGGTTGTCTGTCCGTCTGTCCATCGAGAGTTATATTTTTCATAAATTCATAAATATTGATTTATTGTCATGTAAGCATTTTAAAGTTGTCAACATGAAGCTAATCTTAATTTAGCTCTACCTTGGGGTAGTCTAATCTATAACAGTTGTATAGTTTTATTTTATGAAGATGATCAAATGTTTGTAATATGAAATGTTTATCTAAAAAGAAAAGAAGAAAATAAATGTAATGGAGAAGAAATAATATGATAATATTTCCCTCTAAAATGTAGTGGAGGACAAGTACAAAGTA